ACACTCGTGACCATTGCAGCATCCCTGAGGAATTCTATTCCCTCATTCCATGTTATATTTTTATCTATTTATGTCCACTTTTAGGGACGCAGTGGCTAAGATGCTGAGCTTGTCGATCAGAAAGGTTGGCAGTTCGGTGGCTTGAATCCCTAGCGCCACAAAATGGAGTGAGCTCCCATTACTTGTCCCAGCATTTTCCAACCTAGCAGTTCGAAAGCATGTAAAGATGCAAGTAGAAAAATAGGAACCACATTTGGTGGGAAGATAATATCGTTCCATGTGCCTTCGGCATTTAGTCATGCTGGCCACATGACCACGGAGATGTCTTCGGACAAAGCTGGCTCTTCGGCTTTGAAACGGAGATGAGTACTGCCCCCTAGAGTCAGAAATGAGTAGCATATGTGTGTGAGGAAAACCTTTACATTTGCCTTATGTCCATTTACTTTTGAATGCTAATTTTCAGGACACAATTTTTCTGAATCTGCACACATAATATAGCTATTTGATTACACACACACACACCCAAATTGATTTAGGCATCAGTATAAAGTAATATGTCTAGAAATAAATGTTGGCTTATTTTACCATTTAGGAAACCTTGTGATAGAACCCTGTGTTTTACCTGAACTTAGCATGCCTCTGTTTCATTTATTTTTATGGCTTTTAGTTCCATTAATTCTTTCTCTTTAGTGATGCAAATATCCAAATCCCATACCTTACCAGTGCAAGTTATGGGAAAATTGACATAATTGTTTATTAGAACTAAGGGCATAAGAGGAGAAAAGGATAAGTCAGCTAATTGAAGATGAATGTTTGAAAGGAGCAGGGTGATGTCAACCTTCATTTTTCAGTGTGGTTGACAAACAGCCTTTCTTGACTAAAAAAGTTGAAGCAAGCAAGCTTCCATTTAGGCAATTTTATGCCTGAATGGTTATGTTAATAGTTTTGATTGGAGTTTCTGGGTGATTAACCATAACACAAGCATGGAGAGGAAGAGCTGTTTTATTTTAAGAATTTATATAACATCTCTGAGTCTAATTCCACATATCTGGTCCAGCGTACTGATGGGGAATTAGATATTTTATCTAGATTGTGTGGCTATTTTTGGAAGTCATCTTGACACTATATATTACTACTAAAAGTTGCTTCAATTGAACCACACAAAGGCAGATTTTGTAAGGTAACCGTTCCCAAATGCTTCTCTTCAGACATTCAGGGCCACAATTCCCATATAATGTCCAGCTGATGTTAAAGAGCATGTTAGCAGAAAATATAGAGGCCCAGCTAATTTAGACTGAGGGCTGTTTCTCAGTATTACTGTACCAAGATGATAACATATGAAATCTGTTTCATAAGAAGTCTGTTACTTTCTGCCTTTAAACAGACAATAACATTAAAATTGTTCTGCTGGATCTGATTAAGGTTCATGTTATTCAACATTCTGGTTTGAAAGGCAGACAGCCAGGAATTTATTAAAAAGATGATGCTTCATAGTATGCAGAACTGTTTATTACTGCATTAGATAGTCCTGTATAAATTTCTTCAGACTATAGAGATGTATTTTGGAGGCTAAATCTAATGGCATCAATAAACTTGGGTATTATTATTATTATTATTTTTGCTGCTTTTGGTTGGAGATAGATTATAGCTTTTAAAAAGAGATAATTTGAAAGACAATTCTTACTCAGGATCTGTATGCTTCTCCCATTTTTGCCTCTGATAAACAGGTTTTATTAGAATTTTATCAGAAGTGATGATTGATTTGATTGTGTGCCACCAAGTTAACCACTTTGTCTCCTGAGGGATTTAAGCTAACTTCATATTTCTTGGGACTCTAAGATTCCCCCCCCTCAATTTATCAAAAT